TCTTTTCAGAATGAAAATGTTGACAGTGAAAGCATCCCATGTTGCAATGTGTGTTTCTGTGTGGTCTGTACGAGACAAAAGCTGCTGCGCCTTCAGCTCTTCTCTTGTCTTTTCTGTTCTGATCAAAGTGCAGCTGCAAAGGAATTTGCCAGAAAAGCAGTGGGATACACATCACATACTGGCGGTCAGTTTATTTCATGCTTAAGTAACTCTGGAACAATGGAAAGCTATAAAAACTTAACAACAGCCAGACGTGTGGGAGCTGAAGATTTCTTTCCCTCAGTGATGTCTTAAGCCCTTTCAGTGAGCATCTGTTACAAACAGCCAGGTGTTCATGGGCAAGCATGGTCAGACAGGACCCGTGTTGAGTTTCAGAGCCCCGTGGTCAGGTACTCTGTGTATTTTCAGGAAGAAAAGCTTAAGAGAATTCGGCCAGCAACCTGTTTTTCCCCCTGTTGTTTCAGGGAACTTTCAGGTACTTGACTTTTTACCAGATGTTTCAGAAACCTCAGGATTAAGCCAGCAAAGAGAATGATCAAGATCTAATAGGTACACCATACGTAGACGTGTTCAGTAATCAAGTTAAACTCACTGTTCTTACAAATACTTAGCAGTGAGTCCTGACCAGGGCATCAAAGCTCTTGATCCCGATTTCTGTTGTCACCCCTCATTATCCTTTCTGTAACTTAAATGCCAAGAAGACTGTGCCATTGTTAACACTTGTTGAATTGGTGTCCAGCAGTAATGGAATTTGTTTTCTATCCCAGTTCTGGACTGGATTCTCCAGTCACCAGAGCAGACGCCTACAATGGTGCGTTAAACAAGGCCTTGCCTGGTTATTTACAGGTAAACGCATTCTCGTGACCACAGCTGAGAAGGTGATGATGAAAATGGCGGTTGGCGCTTGCTGAGCACTTACTGTAGAGCAGGCCCCGAGCTACGTGTTCTACGGGGGACTGACGCCACCAGAAGGCGCCCTCTGTCTGACCCCGTAGGGTTTGAGCTGATGGCCTTGTCCTTGTTAGTCAACAGACTGAAATTGTCCTGGAAATCATCCTGTGTCACCCCTTTATTACTCATAGTGACACTCTTAGATGTGTTACTTCAGAACAGATAACATTATTTCCTTGATTCCTTGTGGTCCACTCAACTAGCATAGCTCACTTAACTAAAAAATGAATAATTTTTCTAATTATTTCTAATATTTATTCTTTCCCACTCTGGCCTCTCGTGGTCACTTTGACTAAGTTGTGAATCACCGACATGGTCATCCTAGGCTTACAGTAAATATTTTACATGTCTGCTATAATTTGGAAGAATGTGACATCAACTGTATAAAGAAGGTGGACATGGGCTCTGGAGTTTCCAAAGTCAGTCCAGGCGTTAATGAAACTGTTATGTTGATCCATCTGTGAAGTTATGAAGTTAGCACCAAAAGTAGTAGACTCATTAAAGATTGGAGTAGGTTGCTGACAGCCTAAATGACTAGAACTCTGTGGCACTGTTTCACTTGAAGTAGTCTTGGTTCTTAGTGGAGCTATTAACGAGAAGCACTAAATGAACACACTCACATTTTGAAATTTTCTGCATTCTTTCACAAATGATAGCAAACCTTGCTTTAAGGCAGAATGTGTTATTGGAAGCAGAGCTACCTGTGAGTCCCAGGTGCTCATCAGGTGAGCCAGTGCCATTGAAGGTCTGCTCTGCAAGGCAGGTTGATTGACGTCTAGGGTTCAGTGCTTAGTCTAAAATAAAGCCCTGGAGCTTACAGTTCCCTGTTACGGAAAGGAGTGGTCAGAGCTAGGAGATTCCTCTTAGCAGAGCTAGAATTTTACATAAAACATCCATGTATTAAACAAGCAAAACATATGTTTTTTGTTATGTCGAAGTCACTGACTGACATTCATTTTATTTGTCTGGAGATTGGAATGTGGAAACAATATTTAAAGAGTAATTGCATTTTGAAATCCTTATTTGCACTGCCCTCTTCATTAAGACCTCAGCTGCATCCTGAATTAGAAACACATATATTGTGGATTTGAAACATACGACACAAAAGAGATTTGTTACTAAATATCTTTAATATGGTACAGAACTTTCTTTTCCTAGTTTCTGCCCCTCCAGACCACGTAAAAGAATTCTAAAAAAGGAAGAAGAGGAACTTCCTGAGAACCTGCTTGGTCCTTGGCAGGGAGGCTGTGGTCTTCAGGGAGACCAGTGCCAAACCCTGAAGCCTTACAAACCTTGAACCAGCTTAGGCATTGACTCTGACTTTCATTTTTTCTTTTGTAGTAGAACTTTCCAGTTAGGCAGAGAAAAGTCAGCCTTTCATACTGCACTGTCTTTAAAGCATAAATAGCCATCATTAAGTGACAGTGACATTTTCTTTCATGGTATTTTGATGAAAATTAGAGAACCAGCAATCATGAGACCTGTAACTTGTAAGGGACAGAATAGTGACCAGACCCAATAAAACAAAGCAAAGCTTGTAACTTTCTTGTTTCTTTAGGGAAAAGATTCTGAATCCTTTCAAAATTAAATTACCATAGTACATATAGTGACTATAAGTCTTGGTGACAGTTTGAACATATTTGGCCCAACATTCTTTTAAAATTTTAGCACATTGCTCATTGTACTGTGGAACAAAATTTAAGTATCCTTGATGTCTGGGTATCTTTGAATACTTCTCAGAATACTGTAATTTCCAAATTACTAAATTTTAGATTCTCTCAGTAAGTTCAGGCAATAAGATCCTAACACTTACATGTTATCTAAGACTTCTTTTTTTTTGGTCATGCATTCTAAGACACATGGGGGAAAAAAAAGGCTGGTAAAATGTAGAGAGTTTAGATTTTTCTCCTTTTTTAACCAGAATCTATCATCAAATTAGGAAAAGTTAAAAGTCACATATTTGAGTTGTGTTACTCTCGTGTTATGCTGGAGTCTGCATTTCTGGGTAGTTGTTGTTGTTATGTGCCTTTGAGTCGGACCTGACTCATAGCAACCCCTCCTTGGGTTTCTGAGGTGGTATCACTAAGGAAGTAGATTGCCCAACCTTCCTTCTGCGGAGTGGCTGGTGGGTTTGAACCACCAGCCTTCTGGTTAGCAGTCAGTGCCTTAGGCAGTGCGCCATCAGAGCTCCTCTGGGCAGCAGAGTCACCCTGAAATGCCAGAAGCGCTAAGGAGATGGCCCACCCACTGCCATTGAGTTGATTCTGACTCATAGTGGCCCCTGTTGGGTTTCCAAGGTAGTAAATTGTTACAGAAGTAGATTGCCCCATCTTCCTTCCATGGAGCGGCTGCTGGCTTTGAACCGCCACTTTTCTGGTTAACAGTCAAATGCCATCAGAGCTCCTGAAGGAGACAGCAGTATGAGTAATTAAGACTGAAGTCTATGAGGCGGGCCTCAAAACATAAGCAAACGTTTTCATAAATGTCACCATTGATACCCATCTGAGCTGTGAGTTATTTTCTAGGTTGTTTATACTGGCTGCACTCAACTACATCTTACTAGTAGCTCCATCCGTGGGGGCTGGACTGCTAACGTGCCGGAGTGGCAGAATCTAACTGCAAGGATTCTGCATGATATGTTCGAAGTTCCAACACTGGATTCTACTGTATATACTATATGTGTATAATTGCCAAGGAATTTTGTCCCCTGTGTGAAAACTGACCCATAGCTCACGATCTCCATTTCTAAAGGTGTGCAAAGAAAGGAAGACAACGATCCTAAAACCACGTCCCTTAGAGAGGCGCTGTGCCGGCCTTTATCTTTCAGTCATGTGTGTTGTGGTCGGGCTGGTCAGAGATTCTCTGGGAGCCCGATGTCTCAAGAATGGTTAAGGGCGGAAGTCCGACTACAAGTAGTTGGGAGGCAGAGGGCTGACTGGAACTAGTTGGGGGCAGAGGTCTGACTGGAACTAGTTGGGTACAGAAGTCTGACTGGAATGTAGGGCGGTCTTGAATGAGTGCTTTTGCTTAATTTCCTCTGATAAATTGAAGACAGCCATCTTTGCAAAGTAACTGAGGGCTCGTTGTTCAGATTGTCAGCACTTCCTGTTACTAATAATCACTGAAAAATAGAAAGCAGTGGCAAAATTTGAAAAATAAATATCTTGAGGAGCGAGCAGACGTGGGCAGGGTAATTGCACACTCACACGTCCTCCCAGCCTCAGCTGGGCTTGGGGAGTGTGACCCTGCATGAGTAAAGCTGAGAGGAATTTCCATTCACCCATTAAGCAAATATTTACTGAGGAACTAGTTTGTGTCAGGCCTCATATTTCTTGTTGCTAATAGCCCTGTGAGTTTTCAGGTCACTTATTTTAAGGAGGCAAAATGCAGTTGGCTATTCCCAAATCCAAATACTTCCAACTTGAGAACTGATTGTGGTTGTTGGTCTAACAAATGTGAGAATTGTGCCAAGGAGTGGAAGTGATAAAGGAAGAAATTTTTCCTTATTTCAAAACTGACAATAAGTCCAAGCAGTAAGCAACATACAGAATTTGACTGACTTGTCATGACATTAAAATCTCTTTTGAGGGAATGGGCACTTAGAATCTAGTGCACAGAGTGGGCATCCGGGGGCAGCTGCGTCTTACCGCTGGAGGGCGTCCGTCTGGCTCTATAACACAGACTAAAGACCCCATTTGAATTCACCAGGGTTAATGTGACAGGCAAGCAAACCTTATGAAAACTATATATTGTTTTGATCATTTTTACAAGAGTGTTGGGTTGTTTTGTTTTATTTTGTTTCCCTTCGAAAAACACTGCCATTTAGTCAGGCTAACCTTGTTTAGCTTTGGCTTTTTGTTGGGATTGGGGCAGAAACTGAGTAATTGACCCCATTGAGATATGCTTGTTACTCCACCATCTGAGACACAAACATGACAGTGAATTTTTCTTTTGTTTATTTGCAAATGGACTTTAAAAAGAAAATGAATTCACTCCCTCAGGATTCCACTGATGTCACACACTTGTCCTCTCTCTGCCTCTTCCGTCAGTTTACGTCAGCGTCCCCGGCAGTTCCTGAATTCTTGAAAACTCCTGCTGCAGATCAGCCTCCCACAGGGTCCACGGCGCCCGCCCTCCCCACAAACACCGTGTCCTCCACAAAGCCTGGGCCAGCACTGGTGAAGGTGGGTACCCGGGACGCACACTGGCTTGAGTGTCTATACTCAGGACTGTTGTCGATAGCCCTGTGAACTGAGAACAGATCTTTACGCGTCTGTCTAAGGCACCCAAGCCTGCCTTCTATCCTACAGCCAGGGAAATGAAACCGCAGAAGAAGTTGCTAGATGTTTGGGTTCTCTAGTGCTGCTCTGATGGAAAATACCACAACTGGGATGGTTTTAACAAACAGAGACTTACTCTCTTACAGTTCAGCAGGCTAGAAGTCTGAGTTCAATGTGCCGGCTCTAGGGACTGGGTGAGGGCCCCTCGACCTTGGGCTTCAGCTCTGCCTCTTGCTCCTGGCCCACTGAAGCTCAGGGCTTCTCTTAACTCAGCTCCTGAGGCTGACAAACCCGAGGTCGACACGTAAAATGGCGTAGTCCTAAGATTATCAAACAACACGGCAGGCCTCTAGTTCAAGTCCAGAGATAGTTCCAAGATCAGCAGGAAATATGGCAGGCTACTAAAATGAAGACTCAGCTACATGCAGGGTCCATGTGTGCCAGAAAGCTACAGACTGTTCTCAACACTTCTCCTTGTATACTGGCAGCAGACCACATCCCTAAGGCAGCTACTCAGCCACTCCCGTAGATTCCACAGTGGAGTTGATTACCAGTCTCATCATGGGGAATACCTACATTCAGCTGCCCAGCCACTCAAAACCAGGCCAACCAAGTTGACACATAACCTTAACTGCCACACTAGATAGAATTTGCCTTTACTGTTTGGAAGGCCACCTTCAACAAGTGACCTGTTGTGCTGTAGTCATAGAAATGGCATAAAATCCAGTCTGGATGAAACCCTGAGCTCTGCAGAAGGGTTGCAGGCTCGTTTTATCAGCAGTTCCCCATTCTGCTGGCATCCAGACCACTGAGATGAAATGGGAGAAGGCAGAGTGAGCTGGGTGCTTCAGCACAGTGTTGATGACCCACACGTCTCATGAGCAGAGCCTTAATGGCAGCGTGGTTTGGAGTTCTGCACAGGTCAGGCTCAGTGGTATCCCAGAAGTGTCACGTGTCAGGGTCAAGGTTTTAGAGAAGCAAGGACATTGTCTGACTTGGCAGATGTGGCCAGATGAAGCTCGGTTTATTCTTCAGGTACGCTTCAGATTTGCAGCACTGTTCCCCATATTTTTCTTGGTGGGAATAATTCCAAAGACAGATTAAAACTTCTAAATAACACTGCATAATGTCCATCGGGCAACCTCCAACCACATGTACTTCCATGGTACCAACCATTGTAAAGCCTATTACATCAAAAATTGGAGGTGCGCACAGTGCTTTGTGATGGCGACCAGGTGCTGCTTTGCAATGTGTATCAAAAGTTGTTGTTGTTGTTGTTACTGTATTATTATGTTAAGGAGCCCTGGTTGCACAGTGGTTGAGCACTCTGCTGCTAACTGAACCTTTCAGTTCTTCTTCTGTCCTCTAGGGTCACTATGAGTTGGAATCGACTTTACAACACTGGGTTTGGTGTTTGGGGTCATTATAATGTTAAAGATATGTATCTGGAAGTATTTCTTTGATGGTTTTAATGCATGGAAAGGTACAGTATATACTAAGACAAACATTGACTAACTGAACTATACAAACCACACCTAACTGCTCAATTTATGTACTAATTTGACTTAAAGACTTAGAACTCATTCATAATCTGGGGTGTTCACACAATGGACATTAAAGAACACATGAGTGTATAGTACGTTTTTTAGGTTTTTAAAAGTATATTAAAAGAAAAAAAACTCACTGCCGTCAAGTCGATTCAACTCATAGCGACCCCTCCTTGGGTTTCTCAGGCAGTATCTCTACGGAAGTAGATTGCCCAGTCTTCCTTCCGAGGAGTGGCTGGTGGGTTTGAACCAACAGCCTTCTGGTTAACAGTCAGAAGAACTACTAAATAAAGGGAGAGAAGTCAGCTGAGGCATAGTTTGATCATTTCAGATACAGTTTTTGCCAAAACTAGAAGAACATGGAGCTTTAGATTATGGAACTAAAAAAGGACATCAGACAGTGAGCTCACTCTCTCAGCCCCTCTCAGATGAGGGGGACTGAGCGCCAAGAATGGGAAACGTAACAAAGTCAGGAAGGACCCCCATCTCCCAAACCCCAGTGCAGCCTTCTTCCTGCCATCTCACTTTATGGATTGCAGCACTGTTCTAACACAGGGTCTCGCAAGTCAGCGTGACGCATCCCTGTACCTCTCTCTGCCCACCTGGGTCTGTCCTGGCCACTTGACCACCCTAGAGAGATTGCTAGTCTGGGCTCTTTGGCCGTGTGGCAGATTGGCCTCAGGTTTGTGTGACTGTCATCCCTTGGTTAGCAGTGGAGCCAGGAATCCCAGGCAGGGGCAGTGGCGGCAGTGCTGGGACAGCAGCTCTCACCTCCTCTCGCCGCCCTCCTGGCTGTGCCCCGCAGATGGCAGAGAGGCTGAAGAGCGGGGAGGGCTTTGGCCTGAGGAAGAAACACTGTTTAAGGATGTGATATTCTGAGCCTGTATCAGTGGACGGAAAGGACAGTGCACAGGAGGAGACAGACAGCTGGCGGTTCTTTGGACTTTTCTGTAAGGGTGGCTGTTTCCCAGCATCACATACTGAGGAAACACACTTTGCCAGCTAGTGGGTGACAGCAGGTTTAGTCTGAGGAGTACTGGTTACTGTTTATGTACTGCTCCCTCCCCAGTAGGGGACTGGTGGGCAGTTGTGTTGACATTACACAACAGTGACCTCAAACTACCTCAGCTCAGACCCCATTCATTATTATGATCAGTCAGAAAAGACTGCAGATAAAGTTTATTGCAACCCAATTAGCAGTTGATGGTAAGTTGATTGTTAATGAGACCAAAGAGAGATATTAGCAAGTACAGGTGTGTTCTGGCAGGACATGAAGCCCCCGATAGGTTCTGGAGGGGCGGCAGACATGAAAGCCCCAATACGTTCTGAGGGGCGGTGGACGTGAAGCCCCCTATACGTTCTGGAGGGGTGGCGGACGTGCAAACCAACTCACTGCCATCGAGTCAGTTCCGACTCATAACAACCCCCGTGGAGTTTCCAAGGTGGTAATTCTTTATAGCAGCAAACTCTGCCCAATCTTTCCTCTGCTGAGCAGCTGGCAGGTTCGAACCACTGACCTTCTGATGAGTAGCCAATGCTTTCGCCACTATACCACCAGAGCTCCTTTGTGGTAACGAAAGGATTTCTCATTAGCGTGCACAGTCATCATTTGCTTAATCAACAGGTACTTACTCGGCACCTTCTATGTGGCAGGACCCACTCTGTGTGTTGTTGTTGTTAGGTGCCATTGAGTCTGTTCCAGTTCATAGTGAGCCCATGTGCAACAGAATGAAACACTGCCTGGTCCTGCACCGTCCTCACAGTTGTTGCTGTGTTTGAGCCAAACGTTGATTCAATTCTGAGGAGGCATTTCTTCCCCAGTTGCATGTTGAGTACGCTCCACCTGAGTGGCTCATCTTCCAGCAGGTGCGTCGGACAGTGTTCCAGGGCTGTCCGTAAGGTTTGCACCGCCTGCTGTTTTGGGGGAAGTGGCGTGCTAATCCTTCCTAGTCTGTCTGCGTCTGGAATCTCCACTGAAACCTGGCCGCCATGTGTGAGTCTGCGGTATTTGAAATGCCAGTGACATATCACAGCAGCACACAAGCCACCGCAGAGTGAGAAACTGACACACGAGCGTTGCTGGCGGGAGAGGAGGCCGTGAAGCCACAGCAAAAATCCCTGCCCTGGGACAGGAGTGGAGTGGTAAACAGATAATAGAATAAAGAGCGTGGCCGCTGGTGAAGAGTAAAGTGAGGGTAGAAAGTCTGGGGCCCGTTTCTGTTCTAACCAGTCTTGTCCAGTAAAATCTAACAACATCGGGGCAGAGGCCTGAAGGAGGTGAGAGAGAAGCTGAGAGGATATCTGGGGAAGGAAAATTAAAAGCCTCAGAACAGGAAGCCAGTGTGAGTGGACAGAGGGGGCCAGTGGTCAGAAGTAAACCATGAGGCCAGAACGTGGCCTGGCCTGGACCGGATTCTGTAGAGCCTTGTAAGAGGTTCGGCTTTTAACTAACTACAACTGAGATGAGAAGCCACTGGAAGGTTTTGAACTGATGTGTGGAAAACAGTAGGGGAGCAAAGATGGAAGCAGAGACCAGGGAAAAGGTGTAATCCGCTAAGGGAGAGACGGTGGCAACAGTCAAGGTAGTGAGACGTGCTTGGCTCCAGACTGTATTCTGAAGGCTGAGCCAATTAGGTTTGCTGACAGATGGATGCTGTGTGTGGCCACAGGAGGAATTGTGAAGCAGTCCACTGTGTTTGAGCAACTAGAAATGGCCATTGCCTGTGTTGGCAAGAAGGATGCCTGGAGTTTGAATGCTTATTAGACACATAGTGGGGATGTCAGATGGTTGGGTAGATGCGTCCAGACCTCAGGAGGGAGGTCTAGACTGTGTGTGTGGAAGTCATCATTGCTTCAGAAAGTCTCAGTAAAATTACCGGGGACCAAGCAGAGGTAAAGAAGAAGTATAAGAACTGAGGCCTTAGATAGTAAGACATCTTAGGAAGAGTTAAAACCAGCAAAGGGGACGGTGACCCAGGAGCCACATGAAACATTTCCAGCAGGAAAGAGGGACGGGACAACCATGTTGGATGCATCTGTGGACCAGTTGAGTAGGAGTATAGTGGGAACTGACCTTGGCTTTAGCACCACGAATGCTGTAGTGACCTTGACAAGAATAGTTCTTTGGAATGAAGAGGCAAACTCTTGACAGGAGTGGCTACAAGAGGGATGCAGACAGTGTCCGCTGGAAGCTTTTCTGAGAAACTTTGCTGCAGAGGGGCACAGAGAAATGGGTCAGTACCTCGGTCAGGAACGTGAGGTCGAAAAAGGATGTCTGTGACCCAGTGGGAATGGTCAGGCCTGGGGAGGGTTGCTGAGCACTGACCGTGTGCAGATGACAGGCATGGAATCTAGTGCAGGAGGGGACCGGCTGGCCCTGTCCGGCCACAGTAAGGAAGGAAAGACACACACAGCCCAGATGCAGGCAGACGGTTAGATGCCACGGTGGGGACTCGGGAAGCTCCTCGCTGATCACTGTTTTCTTGGTGCTTAGGAAGCAGGGTCACAGTTGACAGTGAGGAGAGGGGAGGAGGTCTGAAGGTCTGATGAGAGAGAAAACATGGGGTAGTGCTTTAGAAGAATGGCCAGGAGCAGCACTTAAGGGGCCACTTGACCTTGGTAGCCGTGTTCTAAAGTGAGACTTGTCAGCACGGTTTTGTCTTTTTTTTTTCTGCAGTCACTTTCAGCTACCTGAAGGCAGGCATGGAATAGACCAGTGGTTCACAGCAGGGGATTTTGCCCCCTATCCAAGGGACATTTTGTAACATCTAGAGAGAGTTTGGGTTGTCACAGTGGGGGAGGTGCTATAGGCATCTCGGAGGTTAGAGGTCAGGGATGCTGCTAGGCATCTCACCATGCACAGGGCAGCTCTCCACAGCAGAGAATGATCAAGTTCAAAGTACTGGTAGTAACACTGTTGAGCAGACAAAGACTTGGGTTGGGGTTTTGCTGGATAAGTGCAACAGAGATGGATCATGTATTCTGGGACTCGGTAGGTGAAGAGGGCAGTGAGGGACAGTGGGCATGTGGTAAGGCTGTAAATCCCTGTGGCATCAAAAAGTTGTTGGAGATGGGGTCTGGATGGAAGAAGCTGAAATGACAGGTGGTGGCCATCAGGTAATAGGACTCTGGGAAGTGAGAAAGTAGTTTGGGGTAGTAACAAGGTCTAGGTTATGACCACAAGCATGAGTGACCAAGATAGAGGATGAGATATTTAGAGGAAAACAGGCTAAAGAACTGAGAGACCAGAATATCAGAAGGATCCTGTATGTGGACATTAAAATCACCGAGAACAATGACCAGAGTGTGTTGGAAAAAGTGAAGACTGTGGGTAAGTAAAAGACTAAAGCAAGGACAGCCCCAGTGGAGGACTCTGAAGCTATGGGAGTCACTATTCAAACCATTTCCTTTTTATAAATCCTCAGTTACAAATGTTCAAAAATAGGCTACCAGTTAATCGGACTATGGTATATCCAGTGGTGTGCAGGAAAATGTTTAACAGCTGGCTCTGGGAGGAGTCTGCTTTGTAGCCTTTGCTTATTCCTGTTGTGTGAATATTCCTGCCATGAGCAATCTCAAGCTGCTGCTGTGGTGTCTGAATGCAGAGTTGGGAGAAGAAGCAAGAGTCGGCTCTCGTGAGCCAGTGAGGATTGGCTCCAGCACCCACTGGAGTGTCCATAAACTGTCATGCAGTACGGCCATCAGAAATCTGGCTGCAGAATGATACTCAGATGGTGAGAGAAGAACTAAGTGAAGGGAGGGGACAGGCATATTTCTAATAAGTGGCTATTGTATCACCCCAGTTATGTTAAATTTTAACATTGCATAGGAAGGATCTGCAAACAAGTTGATAGTGTTATTTCCAATCTATAGAATTAGGGTAGTTTTTGTTTTCCTCTTGTATTTTTTTTTTTTTTTAATTTCCTAATTCTCTGAACATGAACATGTATAACATGATAGAGTGGTCACATTAATAACTGTGTTTAATTCTCAAAGTGTCTTCTTATTAATATTAACTTGGGTATTTTACCTAAAGCAGTGTAGGAATAATTTCTTATACCTTGTTTTTTTGGATGGACTTTTTTTTTTCTTTTAGATGAAGTTATTTTATGAATGCATATGCTGAAAAGGGAAGAAAAATGACCTCATCACAAATTTATGAAAAGAAAATGCAGGGGGTGAATAATCTGATTCTTAATCACTAAGATGGGAATGCAGGGCCCACCCTGCATGTTTAAAATAAAAATGAGTGTATTGTGTTTTTAAATACTTTAAAGATCCATGTTCACATTGCTTATTAATATTTTCATTTTTGTGTTATTTTCCATAAAAGATACAGTTTTATACCCAGCTTCTTTGTCCTTTGAAGCATTTTTACATGTTCTCCATAGACTTTTAATGACTATAAAGCATTATGTAGTTACAGTAAAATATACTTAATGTCTCCCCTGTTGTATATTTAGTGTGTGGCCTGTTTTTCACTTGGGATAATGTTTTACACACTCACCAGTATGTCTGCACAGGAGACCCAAAGTAAGTGTTGGTCTAATTTGAATAGATAATGCTGGGCTGAGCATCTTGCCCTTGTCCTAAGAAAACAGTGCAGCAGGAGAAAATAAATTCTTAGGGGCAGGATTTCTTGGTCAAAGTAATTATACAAACGTTTTCATGGCTCTTGCAGTATTTAGTGTATTTTCTCCAAAGTCACCAGTGTCTAAAATGCATTGCAAATGTAAAATTGATTGTCACTTGAGGATAGTTCTTAAAACGTTCTTACTTCCTTCTTCTGAAAACAACAGCAAAGCCATCCCAAGAATCCAAACGAGAAACACCGTAGCAAAAAGTGCAAAGACCCCAAACCACGGGTGAAGAAGCTGAAGTACCACCAGTACATTCCACCAGATCAGAAGGGTGAGAAGAACGAGCCGCAGATGGACTCCAACTACGCCCGCCTGCTCCAGCAGCAGCAGCTGTTCCTGCAGCTGCAGATCCTGAGCCAGCAGCAGCAGCACTACAACTACCAAGCCATCCTGCCTGCACCACTCAAGTACGTGCTGGGGTTCCCAGGTGGATGGGACCGTGATGCTTAGGAGGATGGGCCACTCAAGTACATGCTGGGGTCCGTGCGGGCTTCCCAGGTGGATGGGACCGTGATGCTTAGGAGGATGGGCCACTCAAGTACAGGCTGGGGTCCGTGCGGGCTTCCTGGGTGGATGGAACTGTGACACTCAGGGAGAAGGGCCACTCAAATACACGCTGGGGTCTGTGAGGGCTTCCCAGGTGGATGGGACTGTGACACTGAGGGAGAAGGG